ATTCTGCTGAACTGCGTTTGGATCAGCCACAGTTCAGCGTGGGGGGGGGGGGACTGGGCTGTTGGTTGTTCCAGGTGTTAGCAGAAGTAACATCCAGAAGGATCCCAGAGTGATTTTACAGGGCAAATAGAGCAAGATGGTGGGTGTTGCTCCCTCTCTACATGGCTTGTCCGCTGCCCCACCTCCACCACCTTCTCAGTGTCTTCCCTTCCCAGCTGTTGCTGATGTTTGCCAAGGAAACCCCCCAGCCCGGACTCCCTCCTCCACCAAACCACTTCTGTACAGAACAGTCGTGTTTGAATTGGTTCGTGTGTGCACCGAAACACCAAAGACCACATGATTTGGTTTTGGTACAAACTACCCCAAACTCACTCTTTAGTGCACAGATTGAGTCATGAAGGGGGTGTTTTATGCAACCCCAGACCCAGTGAAGGTACTGTATGGTAGATAGAAAAATGGATGGGGCAATTAATTGAGAGTGTTTCATTATGTGCATGATTCCAAACACCACCATATCTTGCTATTTCTTAACTCTCAGAAGCATCTTTTTTGTTGTTGTTGTTGAGAGCTAGATGGGCAGCAGACTTTAATTAAGAAGTGTGCTGCAGTGCCCAGGGCTGGAAAGGAAGCTAATGAGATACAATGATTGTGCAAGGGCAAGTCCAGGAATTCCCCCTCCCCGCAAGTGGAACCTGGTTATGATACAGTATACAGGAGGCAATCTTACACATAGGAAAATATAAGTGTCCTGGTAAGGGAGAGGTTACTCATTGGAGATGCCCATGACTGTAAGTCACCAGTTCTACAGTACTGTGTTGGGTTAATGGAAATTATGCAAAATATATTCATTAATGCTTGTTTGCCTACTTCATTTTGATGGCATAGTATATAGGGCTCTTTACTATTCTTCAGAATTATGTCAAGTTTTATTCGTGTTTGTGGGTCAGTGAAAATTTGCAGTATAACTTACCTATATGTTTTTCCTTGTGGCTAGATTATTCCTGTGATTTGCAATCCATAGGAGTTCCATCAATTCTCTCCAATTGCAAAAGACACTTAGCTTTAACTTTCACTGACTAACCAGCTTCAGGGACACCTGGAATTTATTTATAATCTGGGCAGCGATGCTTAACTCCTCTAATGCTTGATTATATAATCAATACTCTATTCATTAGAGTATTCATATTCATTCATCACTTTTGCAGTCAGTCACTCTTGCCTCCCTTATTCATGATGGAGAGTTTCAAGCTTCTTTCAGATGGAAGCTTTGGTGCTACGCTTTCTTGCCATAAAAGTCAGGCTTGAGGGAAAGCCAGATCTTTCCCTCCTCAGCAGAAGAGTAACTCTGTCCTTTGGAAACCCTGCTTGAATGCTGTCTCAAGTAAAGGGGCAATATGTGCCTTTTAGTGCTTGGGCTGTTCTTTGGTGACAATTTATTCACTGTTAACTCCAAGCTTATGGAAAGTATCATTCACAAGATTGCTTTCATATTAATGTCTAGTGGGAGGTTTTAACATTTTGACCAGCAACTAGATTGGTCAAGGGGACAGAACAGGATGATGATAGGCCAAGCTGTTGGCTCTTCTTGTACTGGTTTAAACAGGTGCTGCTTGCCCTTCTCCAGGATTGATGCTGTAACAGCTATTTCCACAGCCTGATATTCTTTCCTGCTGTTAATTTCTCTTTCCTCCCCATCTCTAAATTGTGCTTCTCAAGAAGATGCTTAGATGATAAACCTAGCTAGCTATTAGGTATCAGATAGAGCTGGATTATGACAAACATCTATTAATTTCTGAATTGCTGCTGCTGTTATCTTCCTTCAGCAGCATTTATAAAGACAAGAGATATCTCCTTCTTGCTTCTGAATATGGGGGATCCACCAAGTAGAATCTCCTTTCTTCTTTCCTTGCTCACCCCAGAACTGTGGGAAAAAGGAGTTCCTAAAAACCACAACCACATCCTACACTATAAGAAGCTTCTTGCCAAATTAGGGATTGGGACAGTGCAGCCATGAATGAGATAAAGGGCAATTCACAGGCCAATTGAATTGGTTATTTTTTAAAAAATATTCTGACCGCTTACTGACTGAATTGGATTCTTTCCTCTGCTTATCAAAAGTACACACGCAGGTTCCATTCATTGCCTCTGTGCTGAGACAGAGAGTCCCTTTAAAATCATTTTCAGAATCCTCAGAATTAGGGTAGTGAAAGAGTGATGAAAAGAAGGATGTAAGAACGTAGCTTTTAGTGTTATGCTTCCTTGAGATTCAGTTTCCACTAAAAAGTGTAGAGTATGTAATAGAGGATGGTGGGTTGATTTTAATACAGAACAGAAAATTGTCACTCTGTTCACTTGAATTAGATGTAAAAGGGGGAGAAGGGGGGTTGTGGTTCAGTATTCACTAGGAAAATACTAGGTTTGGGTCTTTGGGTCCAGCCTTTGCTTTGAGCTGCTTAATTGGGCTAGAAGATACTGTGTGTTTGGCAAGAGAAAACTACTGAATCTTCAGGGAGGATAGTTGTTGAGACTGGTTTAAATATTGACTGTTTCTTATTGCTTTGGGTGCTACCATATTGGTTCTATGTTGATCAGGTGATGGGAATCCTCAGTTATAATTCTGTTCTCTCTTCTTCAGATGTGCACACCCAGCAATACTCCAGCCACGCCACCCAACTTCCCAGACGCTCTAGCAATGTTCTCCAAGCTGCGGACTTCAGAGAATCTCCAGAGCAGCAATAGTCCCATTACGTCCATGGCGTGTTCTCCTCCAGGGAGCTTCAGCCCCTTCTGGGCTTCTTCGCCTCCCAACCACCAACCTGCCTGGATCCCTCCTTCATCACCAACCAGTCACAACCTCCACCATCACCTTCACCATCAGCAGCCCATGTGGCCTCCTGTGTCTCAGCCAGGGCCCCCCCAGCAGAAAGCCATGGCGGCAATGGATGGCCAGAGATAAGACTTAACATTTTTGGAATGGGAAAGAAGACGGGGCAGGGGGGAAGAGGATATGGCAAACCTGAGGGAGGCATGGGAAATGGGAGGGGGCTTTTTTTTTTTCTGAAGATCGCACTGGAATATTTTATAGTTTTTTTTTTTAATTGATGATATGTCATCAGTTATCCCCATGGTCCTTTTCTTCTTCTTTTTCTTCTTTTCTTCCCCTATCCGCTCTTCAGGAGAGTTAATAACTGGTCTCTTCTCTTTTTTAAAAAGAAAAAAAATATATAACTATAATATATAAATATATAAATATATCTAATGTATATACATCACGAATGAAAGCAACAGAATTGTAAAGATCCAGGTGGTATTCTAAGAACGCTGCTTGGAAGGAGAGGCAGCTGTGTTGAAAACAGAATAGAGGTGCCTCCCTTGAAACATGTGGATGTGCGTGAGGGGAGGGGGG